ATGAAATAAAAATATGTGATGCTCCTGGCCATATTAAATGTTTAAAAGGACGTTGTTTTGGGGAGCCGGGGTGGCTCTGTCAGCTAAGCATCCGACTTCAGCTCAGGTCATGATCTCATAGTCTGTGAGTTCGAGCCCCGCGTCGGGCTCTGTTGCTGATGGCTCAGAGCCTGGAGCCTGCTTCCGATTCTGTGTCTCCCTCTCTCTCTGCCCCTCCCCTGCTCATGCTCTGTCTCTCTCTGTCTCAAAAATAAATAAAAACATTAAAAAACATTAAAAAAAAAAAGGACATTGTTTCTTTCGCTTCAAGGTGTTCTATTTGTCTTAATAGAAATCTCCAAATCTTTAACTTTTTCATCTTAAATACTCCATTACTTGTTGGAGAAGAACTTAACTCAGAGAAGGGAGTCCTGTAGAGATCTCTGAATGGTAATGATGTAGTGTGTGCAGAGATCTCTGAGTGGTAATGATACAGTGTGTTTAGAGATCATTGGGAAGCCATATGCCACTCTGGGAATTCTATGTGCAACTTTTCAAGCACCTAAAGGGTGGGGGAAACTGAGGCTTCCAGTGAAGAAGTGATGAGGCAACACGCTTCAGCTCCAACTCTGTGTCTTCCATTCTTTCTCTGAAAGGTTGGTAACTCCCTGACCCTAGATATTCTGAGAACCATCGTCAGCCAAGTTATGGGAGCTTCTAGCAGGAATGAGAAGAAGGAGAGGGGAAAAAAAAAAAAGAGAGAGTGAGCCTGAGGCAGGAAAGAGAGCAAACCAAAAACCCCCAAAAGGAAAGGGTTGGAACTGGTATCATGTACAATACTTTCATACGTGTTATTTGAGCTTCTCAGCAATCTGGAAGAAGGGTATTATTGTTCCCAGTTTTTGGATGCTTATGTGGCTTTACCAAGATCTCATAGCTAGTAAATGGCAGATGGGACTTAAACTCAGCACTCCCAATTTCCCACATGGGCCCTCCAGTGCATCGTACTTATGTTGTTAGCGACAGGTTGGAAAGGGCCCCCCACAATGTGGTGAGAGTCATCAACAATGTCACAGGCCATTAAAGATGAAAGATGGCTGCTCATTTGTTGTCTGTATATGCATTGTTGTCTGTATATGTATATGTATATCATCACGTGATGACTTTTATGACATAAGTTGGGGAGAAAATAAACAGCTAGTTATAACAGTATGATGATCGTGGTTTCGGAGAGTCCACATGGTTCCAGGAGAGTAAATTGGGGGCCATACCTAACCTGGTTTGGGGACAGTCAGATAAACTTCCTGGAGGAGACGTCATCCAAGTTGAGAGCTACAGGACCAGCACGAGATCGTCGGCAAGGTGAGGAGGTTTTGGAAAAATCTGCAAAGACACAGGCTAGAGAAAGCAGAGACACCGAAAGCAGGGTGAGCTTGGGAGTTCAGTCTGGAAAGGAAAGCAAAATTCCTACAATAATTGGCTTTGTAATCCAATTAAGAGCATTGGACTTTAGCCTGGGGGGCAATGCAGAGGCCTCAGGGAAATTACGAGATTCGATGCGCATCTTGAACGGATTGCTCTGGCTGCAGTGTGAAGAATCGATTGGCCAGGGGCAGGACCAGAGGCAGAGAGACCCAGTGGGAGGCTTTGAGGGAATCTGGGGAGGACATCTTGTGGCATGGAAGCAGGGATGGAAGAGGCGGACTGATGAGAAAGGAAGTCATATGCTAGAAGAACTAGAACTTGGTCATCGCTTGGACACGGGGAGCAGAGAGGTGGGGGATAAATGCCCCATTTGCTGAGTGATGGACTGCTGGAGGAGGAGTGGATTTGTCTGAGGGAGACAGAGAGGACCAAGGAGCTCTGCTGAGGCTGGGATGTAATCATACCAGATCATGCCCACTCAACACTTACCATGGGCCCTGTGCTGTGCCTGTGTTGTCTTCTTTAATCCTCGACCATTCACATTTCAGAGACCTACCACCATATACCAGGCACCATTCAAAAAACTTTACAGAAGTTGACTTCTTCAGTTGCCTTATGAGTTGAGCTCTTATTATGCTCCATTTTACAGTTGAGGAGACTGAGGTTCAGAGAGACTGGGTAATCTGCTCCAAGCCTCATAGCCACCGAGTGCCATAGCTAACACTAGGACCAATTTATGGCCTCCGTATTGCTTCCATGGTGACTGTTCGGGGTCTACGGGACAGCCAAGGTAATAGGTCTAGTGGGTCACTGGGGTTCCAAAATTGAAGCTCGGGCAAGAAATATGAGTTGCGAATACAGACTTGGCAATTACTCAGCCTATAGGTGGTGTTTAAAGCCACAGAAGTGAATCGCTGTGCAGGTTAAAAAGAGAAAAGGGCCACCAGCCAAACTCCGAGAAACCCCAATGTTGACAGGCCCGTGGGAATAGAGCCCGTCTGCTGTGGTTGGAAAATGTGAAGAGATGGAAGCCAAGGGAGGGCAGCCTTTCCAGGGGGGTTGGCCAAAAGTAAGGAAAGGAGAAGGTGAGCGTAAAACACTGTCACTCTGAGCATTTTTAAGTATGAAGAGAAACGACGTGTTAACCTGAGGAGGGCTGGGCTAGAAGGGGAGGTTCTCCCCGTGCGAGGGGGAGATTTGAGCCTGTGTAAACGCTGGTGGGAAGGAGTCCATACAGGGAAGCTGAAGACACAAGGACAGAAGCAGAGGAGCAAGGAGGTTTCTGAGCGGTGGGTATTTGTGACCCAGAGGTCAGGTCCTTCTAGTTTTAAAGACACATCCCTTCAGTGTCTACTCCATAGAGGGTTGGGTCTCAGAGTCCCCTCTTCATCCCCCCTCACTGTGACTGAGGGCCTGTGTGAAGGTTTCGGGGGAGGAGGTGGGGGGAAGATGGGGAGTACGGTATAAGGTCTGGGGAGAAGGCATCAGATGACGAACCTGAGTCATGGCGATGAGGGAGGTTTGGGGGAATGGGCGAGGGAGCAAACAGCCGGTCTGGTGACTGGGAGGCAGAAGTGCCGTATTGTGTTGAGGGCCTACTCAACCCAGGAGGCCATGAAGTAGCACCAGTTTGCACAGGTATGGTGAGAACCTCCAGCACCCCCCAACTCTCCGGGGATGGCATCAGGCGGATGCTCGGTTTGGACCACACTTTTGTCTTCCTTCCTTTAGGTGGAAGCAATAGAAGGATGACGGGACAAAGGAAGGAGGATATTGGCAAGAAACTAGATGACCTGATGGACCAGATGGGACCTTGAGTATAAGTGAAAGGGAGTGAAAATGGGGTAGGGCGGAGAAATTGGAATCTACACAATTGTTTGGCACTCCCTTCAAAAGGGGGAGCCTAACTGCCCTCTCCTTGAGCCTGGGGTGGACATAATGCTTCCTAACTAGCATATAGGAAAAAAGCAGACGGTGCTAGGTTATTAAAGGCACTGTGGCTTCTTGCTTGCTCTCTCTTGGATGGCTTGCTCTGGGGAACTTAGTGGGCGTGTCTTGAGGGCACTCAAGAGTCCCATGAACTTGCCAGGTGTGTGAGCAAGCTATCTAGGAAGGAAGCAGGTGCCTCCAGCTAGGCCGGACATCTTGGCCACAATGTGCCAAGAGACCTCGAGCCAGAACCGCCCAGCTGAGCTTTTCCTGGAATCCCGACTCTCAGAAACTGTGTGAATGAATAAAGTTTTATTGTTCTAAGCTGCGACGTTTGGGGGTAATTGGCTTTGCCCCAGTAGATAACAATACAGGCACTGAAAAATCGCAGAACGAGAAAGGATCGTAGCATATTGGAATTCCAGATTTCAGGGGCTGAACAGTTGCCCCTGAAACCGTTAGGGGCATAACGGTTGCTGAAGCCATAGCAAGGGCTGTCTGACGTGGGCTAAAAGCGACGGGCCTGGTTGTGAGAATCTCAAGAACCTGAGATGTGGGCCAGGTTATGTCAATACACAGCAAAATGATCCAAATAAAAGCAGAACTCAGTTTGAAGAAAAAGCTTAGAAGCTGCAGGCTAGGTCTTGAACGAACAGGGATAATGAGGATGTGGGCACATGATGTCAATGAGTGGGGGCAGATGGCATAAGCAGGAATTTTACGCAAGAGTGAAGGAATAATGATTTGAAGGTAACACAAGCCTGTGAGAAGGACCCTGGTCTCTCTCTGGATTCCAGGTCCTCAAGGTGTGGCAGGATGAGCGACTGCGGTTAGGAGAAATTTGGAAATGGCTGAGTCTTACTTAAAGCCCAAAGCTGGGAATCCACTCAGGTAAGAGGCTAAGGGCATAAAGGTAGGAAAATATGTTAATGGTGAAGTAGGGTTGCTGGTTGGCACAGTGAGTGGTTTGGAAAGAAAGGAAGTGAAGGGGTGTGTGTGTGTGTGTGTGTGTGTGTGTGTGTGTGTGTAGGGCTGGGGAAGTAAGAGTGGTGGTAAATTAAAGCTGAAGCACATCAAAGAGGATCTGGGCAAGGTTAATCCACTGGCTTGTGAGTTTTCCAGGATACCCCTCCCGTCCCTGTCAGAAGCACTAATTCAATTTACCAGCAGTTCATGCTGGAGTCTCACAAACAGAGGGCCCCGCATGTTAGGCGCAGCACTTGGGTCACACTCATTCAAGACACTGCGATTATTTTCTCAGTGAAGATCAAATTAGAAGTTTATTCTTCTCATAGAAAATATCGTTCTGGGAAAAGTGCAATGGATTCTTCACACTGTTTGAAAGAATATAGCTAGAAAAAGATGCCTAAAGGCAATTAAAAAAAATTCTGTACAGGCAGATAAGAAATATTGGTTGCTACGTGTTGTTGTTGTTGTTGGTCGAAGAGGTAGTTTAAAAAATTTTTTTAATGTTTTTATTTATTTTTGAGACAGAGAGAGAGAGACAGAGCATGAGCGCGGGAGGGGCAGAGAGAGGGGGAGACACAGAATCTGAAACAGGCTCCAGGCTTTGAGCCATCAGCACAGAGCCCGACGCGGGGCTCGAACTCACGGGCTGTGAGATCATGACCTGAGCTGAAGTTGGATGCTTAACTGACTGAGCCACCCAGGCGCCCCAAAGAAGAGGTGGTTTTTTAAATTTCTTTTGGCAAAATACAAAACGAAACATAATTTCCATCCCTGAGGGTATCCTATAGAAAATAATTCAGGACTTACTCAGGTTTAGTAGAACAGGGAAATGTCGCTTAAATATACAAATATATGTATTTGTATACATAGGAATATTCTTCTGAGTTGGAGTTATGAAGGTGGTAACTTGAAGTCCTATAAAGGAAGGAGGTAGCTATACACACATACAATATATGAAAATGCAAATTAATTGAAGGTCAGGAAGAAATAGAAACTCAGAAATTTCCCGAGGGATCAAGTGACAGTTCTGAAAACGGGTAAAAGAAGATAGGAGGTGAAAAGGGGAGATTACTTCGTGTTCACTTAACATGTAGAAACAGCTAGAACTGAAGAATCCATTGAGTGTTCTCTGCAACCGAACAATGTAGCATTCTAGACGCTGTGACATCATGTTTTAAAAATAGCCGCTTTCAGCAACAGATAGCAGTTGATAATGAAAACGTTTTTTCATGTCTTTTGGGATGAGGGGGGAAGAGAGCTGGGGGAAGGGGCGACTAGTGACTAAGGGAGATAAATGTCCTGATTGTCCCCGGTCTCCATGTAAATAGAAATGTAACTGGCACCGGGCTGCAGGGTCACGTGCACATTCTCTCATGAAAATATTAGGCCCATAGTACATTCGATTGTTTGCTTTTATGACCAGTAAGTCATTAACATAATGCGTTTTATTATTAGCCTACTTTGAACAGATGAGACGCAATCACCAGCGACCGGAGGAGAACCCCCACGGATGCCTCCACGATGACTTGGATGGAGATGTTGAAGGTGTGGCCGGGGCTGGGAGGTGTTGGGTGCCCGGAGGGCTGGTACCCACCCAGGGCCAGCCTCAGCCCAAGCGGACGGTTGGCTCTGCTTGAAAGCAGAGGGTCCCTCTGCGCCTCACACTCTTGTGTCACGCGGTATGTAAAATTTCGCTGCGTTCTCAGTCTCGGAGAAACATTGTTGCCAGTGGCGCGCTGGGAAATTGACTGGAGAAAGTTTTGGAGGTAGGAATGCTGGCACCGCCCATTGCCAATTTCAAGCTGCCAGCCCCTGAATGAGGATAATCAGCTCTTGGGGGCCAGGGTGAGCAGGCAGGTGCCCTGCTAGCCCTTCCCCGCCACACACAGTTACTAGGCCACCATCGGCGTCTTATTTATAAGGTTTCGACTCCCTTCAAGACCTACATCTCCCTGGGACGGCTGGGTTGTGGGAGATCCTCGTCTTCCCTTCTAGGTCCTTCCTTCCTCCTCCTCCTGCTTCTCCTCCTCCATCCCTCTTCCCCTCCTTCTTCTTTTCCAGCATTTACCGATGGCAACACACCTGAGACATCCTGCCGGAACGCTGGGCTGCGAAGATGGGTCAGGATTCATCTCTGACCACGTAGGGAGGCGACGACCGTTTCCGTGTTTGGTGCTGGAGGGCTGCAGGGGGCCCAGGTGGGGTCAGAGGAGTCCTGTGCGGTACAGGAGTGAGCGTGGAAGGCAGGCTTTCTGGGAGGTGCTGGAGCTTGAGTTGAATCACCAGAAGTGTCCCTGTTTGAACCTGTTTTTAAGACTGAATTCATGTCAAATGAAAGCCGAATGCTGACAATAAAAACGGCAGCAACAAGCGTTTACTGAGCACGTCCTATGTGCTACGCAGGCACTCTGCCAAAGCCGGGTATTATTAGCTCGTGTAACCTGACAGCAACTTTATGAAGACGATACTCTGGGGGACCCCTCTTTTAGGTGAGAAGATCGAGGCACAGGGAGGTTAATAACTTGCCACAGACCACGGAGCTTGTGAAATGTGGAGCTGAGGTTGAACTCAGGCGCCTCGACCCTGGAGCTACAATCTCAACCACTGAGGACACACTGCTTCAAATAACTTCACAGTATACAATGTAACGGAAAGTTTCCCAGGAGTTCGAATTGAGCAAACAGGACCGGTTTAAACCACCACACATGCCCTCAAGAGCCCGGGGCCGCGACGTCAGTCTCATATTGGCAGAACGATCAGATATTCCGATCACAGAGCCCGCCAGCTTGGCGACAGTTCATTAGCTGTAAGTGTAGTCGTAAATGTGCCATGAAGAAATTTTCTGTAACCAATTCCAGTAATAATTGGATTAGATACTTTGTTAGTGCAGGTTTCAATAAAGCTGCAATGTGAACTTCACGTTCAAATGAGCAAAACTGTTTGGCAGAGATCAAATGACAGCGCATTAAATTGGCACCGAAGATCCCCCGCTGGCAGAGTTTTGGTTAAGCACAGGGTCGGATTATCTTGAACCGGCAAACAAAGCTTTGAAATTATTAATGCCGTTTTGTACAACATACCATGCAAATAGATGTTCTCTGCCTCCCTGTTAATGGAAGTCAAAGCACAGAGCAGTTTAAAAGAAAGGGATGGACCTGAGGCCATAGGGTCTTATTTTTAAACACAACATGTGTGAGTTAACTTAACAAAACATGATCTCGTATAGTAAATTGATGGTGCTCATTTAGGAGCGCCTGGGTGGCTCAGTGGGTTAAGGGTACGACTTTGCCTCAGGTCATGATCTTGCGGTTCGTGAGCTCGAGCCCCGCGTCGGGCTCTGTGCTGACAGCTCAGGGCCTGGAGCCTGTTTTGGATTCTGTGTCTCTCTCTCTCTCTGCTCCTCCCCCACTTGCACTCTGTCTCTCTCTCTCTCTCCCTCAAAAATGAACAAACGTTAAAAAATAATAAAAAAAATAAATCGATAGCATTCCTTTAAATATTATCGGTTTTGTATTTTCGCTGGGCTTCCTAAGTACAGCGTTTGCCTTGGTTTTATAGGTGCATTAAGAGGTATAAGGAATTGGTCTCTTTTAAGTTAATATTGCAAATTCCAACTTCTGTCTCACCCTTCATTTAAATTTTTTGGGGGTTTATAGTTTTTCCAGGTCTTTTTTTTTTTAAGTTTAAATTTATTTTAAATTAATTTAAAATAATTGGTCACTATTTAATTTTAAAATAACTTAAAATAGTGGTCACTTCAAAGCAGAGATGTGCCGATAAATGCTTCACACATGGCTCCCTGCGGGGAAAAGCCCTGATTCATGATATTTGCCAGTTTCTGCGCTAGAAATATTCCCACCATGGTGGGTTTCAAGCTACAAACGTGGTGTCACCCACCGCGTGCAGTGCTGGGGAGAGACACCCAGGGGCACACCATCATGTGGCTTTTTTTTTTTTTAATGTTTATTGATTGATTTTTGAGAGGAAGATAGGGAGCAAGCGTGCTGTCAGCACAGAGCCTGATGCGGGGCTTGAACTCGCAAACTCGTGGGATCACGATCTGAGCCAAGATCAAGAGTCCAACGCTTGGCTGACTGAGCCACCCGGGTGCCCTGTCCAGCACATGGCATTTCCACCAGACCGATACGGTAGGTGAAGATTGCGGGAAACCGCGAAGTGTTGTGCTTGTCAGCTTCGGCTGCCGTAACAGGGTATCACAGACCTGGTGGCTTACACATCAGACGTGCAATTTCTTGCAGCTCTGAGGGCTGGAAGTCTGAGCCCCGGGTGTAAGCAGGGCTGGGTCCCTCTGAGGTCTCTCTCCTCAGCTTGCAGTCGGCCTTCCTCCTGCTGCCTGCCTCTTCACATGGCTGTTGTGCCTGTGCATGTGTGAATCCCTGGTGTCTCTTTGCGTGTCCAAATTTCCCCCTCTTACTAGGACACCAGTCAGATTGGATGAAGGACCCACGCTGATGGCCTCCGTTTAACCTGACTGCATCTTTAAAGACCCTGTCTCCAAACACAGTCACCTTCTGAGGTGGCGGCGCTTAGATCGTCAACATATGAGCGTTGGGAGGGGACACGATTCAGTCCATACGAAATGTACTAAAGGAACTAGGAAGTGCTGACTTGTGAGTATTTCCTTTGTTTCTAGTATCAGTTAGTGAATCATAAGTTCATAGAATTGAAGTTTAAGTAACGGCTGTACTTAGCAGCTAAATTGAAAAAATCCCTGAAGATTTAAAAGTCAGCTCTCGTGAGCTGGTACAAACTGTTTTAAAAGAGCACTGCGCCTGGGGTGCTCTTTGGGGCGCCTGGGTGGCTCAGTTGGTTGAGCATCCAACTTCGGCTCAGGTCATGATCTTGAGGTTCGTGGGTTCAGGCCCCACGTTGGGCTCTGTGCTGACAGCTCAGAGCCTGGAGCCTGCTTCCGATTCTGTGTCTCCCTCTCTTTCTGCCCCTCCCCTGCTCATGCTCTCTCTCTCTCAAAAGTAAACAAACATAAAAAATTTTTAATATAGCGCTGCTTTAAAATAATACAAAAGCGTAAGCAACCCCCCCTACCCAACCAGAAAAACACAAGGCATGATGGGCCAGGGTGTGGATTTTCATAAGGATCTTTTTCTAGCAATTATCTCATTTCTGTGAGGAAACAGTTCCCAGGATCATTCTAGCTCTAATATTCTTTCATTTTGTAAAAGATCCTAATAGTAACTAGAACTCTCATGATGCTTTACAAATAAAAGAAATATTTTACCTTCTTCCACACTATTTCAAAAGTCTTTGTTGGGAATGCAAGCTGGTGCAGCCACTCTGGAAAACAGTATGGAGCTTCCTCAAAAAACTAAACATAGAACTACCCTACGACCCAGCAATTGCACGACTAGGTATTTATCCAAGGGATACAGGTGTGCTGTTTTGAAGGGACATGTGCACCCCAACGTTTATAGCAACACTATCGACAATAGTCAAAGTATGTAAAGAGCCCAAATGTCTATTGATGGATGAATGGATAAAGAAAATGTGATATATATATATATATATATATATATATATATATGTATATACACACACACACACACACAATGGAGTATTACTTGGCAATCAAAAAGAATGAAATCTTGCCATTTGCAACTACATGGATGGAACTGGAGGGTATTATGCTAAGTGAAATTAGTCAGAGAAAGACAAATATCATATGACTTCACTCATATGAGGACTTTAAGAGACAAAACAGATGAACATAAGGGAAGGGAAACAAAACTAATATAAAAACAGGGAGGGGGACAAAACAGAAGAGACTCTTAAATCTGGAGAACAGAGGGTTGCTGGAGGGGTTGTGGGAGGGGGGATGGGCTAAATGGGTAAAGGGCACTAAGGAACCTACTCCTGAAATCATTGTTGCACTATGTGCTAACTAATTTGGATGTGAATTTTTAAAAAGAAAAAAGAAAAAAAAAAAAAAGAAAATAGAGATCTCCACTAGGAAAAAAAAAAAAAAGAGTTTGGGTAGGATAGAGCAGAAATGGATTTTTGCCACATTGTTAAGAGGTAAGAATTTGTCACAGGGATAGGAATAACCTCCATGTTTGACAAAGCAGCTGGTCAGAGATTAATAGGAAAGCCTGTGAACAGGCTCAAAATGGTATGGGGCCCTGGGAAACTGCAAAATAAAAGTACATTTTTGAATAATTAAAAAAAAAAAGTCTTTGTTGAGTGCCCTCCGTGGACTGATTGGGTCCCTCCCAAATTCATAGGTTGAATCCCTAATCCCCAGTATGATGGGATCTGGAAGCAATTAGGCTTAATGAGAACCACCAGGGGTGGAGCCTGGTGAATAGGCTTAGTGTCTTTATAAGAAGGGACGGGGGACAGCTTGCTTCCTCTTGCTCTCTGTCCCTCTCCTCTCTGTCTCTGTCTCCCTCTCCTAACTCTGCCACGGGAGGATACAGTCGGGAGGTGGCCATCTGCCAAGCAGGAAGAAGGCCCTCAAAAGAACTCGGATTTTGCATTTCCCAGCCTCCGGGACAGTGAGGGTTGTCTGTTGTTCAAGACGCTCAGTCCATGGCGTTGTGTCACATCAGCCTGAAGGGACTGAGACAGTACCCGTCAGGTACCAGGCACCGTGCTGGGAAAAAAGGGCGCAGAGCAGACAGGCCAGACATGATCCCTCCCCCAGTGGCGTCTACATAAGGGGAGGATAGATGTAGAGTGAACAGTCAGTTAAGTAGCTAGTTGTACCCGTCGTCGCTGCTGGCAGGAACGCGTATAACACACGGTGGGAGCATTGATAATGGGAGCAACTGACCACACGATGGGAGCATTGATAACGGGAGCGACTAACCTCACCTAGGAGATCACAGAAGACTTATCTTGGGAAACGACACTGAACCTGTGTTATAGGCTGAATTCTCTACCTGTCTCCCTCCGTTACAGGTCCCGAAGCCTTCACCCCCAGAACCTCAGAATGTGACTGGGTTTAGAGATAGGGTCGTTAAAGAGGTGAGTAAGTGAAAGGGAGTCTTTGGCGTGAGTCCGAATCCAATCTGACCAGTGTCCTTATAACAAGAGGCAATTTGAGCACGCAGAGAGATAACCAGTGAGGCAGGGGTGTTCGAGTGAGAACGCGACGCAGGCGACCGTGTGAGGACACGGCGAGAAGGCAAACCAAGGAACTAGACCCACCAACACCTTGACTTGGGGCTTCCAGCCTCCAGGACTGTGAGAACATACACTTCTGTTGCTTAATCCACCCAGTGTGTGGTATTTTCTTAGACCCGGCAGACTCACGGAATTTGGGGCCCGGGATTAAGTAGGGGCTGGTGAGACAAGGGGAGGCAGGAAGACATTCTAGCCGGAGGACAGAATATTTGGTTGGATCCTCAAAGAAATGGATAAAATCCCCATAATTGAATGTAGAGGAGTGGTGAGGGGTGTGGCCCCGGACCCAAAGGGCTGGACTCGACCTGGGGAAAGTCACATGACTCGGTGCCTCTGTTTTTCTCATCCGTACGATTGCCATTACTATCAGATGCTGCTGCAGGGTTGCTGGAGGGAGGCCTAAGGTACCTCGCTGTGAAGCCTTTAGCTCGGTGCCTGGCACACAGTCCTGGAAATGCTCCAAAATGTGAGATGTCACTTATTATCTGAGATTAGCTCACCATTCTCAAAGTGTAGTTGGAATGTTCCTTATAGTGGTAAGTCTTTACTGGTACCACTCCAACCTGAGTCAAATCATTTTCTCTCCCTTATTGGGAAGGAAGACCATCTGTTTCTAAAATCTGGATTCTCCATTTTGTGTGGCTGAGGGTTTGGATTTTGTCCTAACGTCTTTTGCTAGAGGCCATGGGGGAAAAAAAAAAAAAAGAAGAAGTAAAATTAGGGCTTTGGGGAGTGAGGACTGGCCGGGTTGTGGGTAGACCCCATG